CGAGAGGAAGGAGACAGACCACCAGCCCTAGGTCCAACCCTTTGTGAGCACACAGCCTGCAGGCCCTGGAGGGCCGGCGTCCACACAGCCGTGCCGTGTGTCCGGTTCAACCCACACTCAGGCCCCTAGGGGAAAAGCAGGGAGTGAGAAGCAGAACTGGGCCAGACTGTTCAGTGTAGTGACAGGAGCAGGTCATATGCCTTGTCTACATCTGGGTCCATCACTCGGAGATGGGGTGACACGGCCCCTCTCAGGATATAGGATTGTGGCATGAGATGTAGGGGGAGAACTGGGTCCACCAATGCGTGTCTGAACCTGGGTCAAAACTGGTCATTCTGAGGCCCCTCAGAGCTCGGTGTTGCAGGGCCTGTCCGTACCCCTGCCTAGCATCGCTCCTGCTGTTCTGCTGCTGTTGGTGGGTTCGCAGGAAGAGAGAGAGGCTAACTTTCCAAAACCCCAGCCCCACTTGGTTCCGACGACCTGCCCTTGGACCTGCACTGTGGAGCTGAGTGGTGCAGACTGAAGGTTGTGTCCCCACCATGCTCTTGGTGAAGTCCTAAGACCCTGTGATGGCAGTTAGAGGGCAAGTCCTGGGACATAGCTAAAGCGACATGAGAGGGCGGCCCTAGGGCAGATCCAACCTCTTTGAGCAGACTAAGGGACCAGAGCTCTCTCTGTCTCTCTGCCCGTGAAGACACAGCGAGAAGGCGGCCATCTTGAGGCAGAAAGAAGATCACATGCTGTAAACTTAACCTGGACTTCTGCCTCCAGACAGGGAGAGACAACCTTCTGTCATTTATGCTGCCACCCCGTCCGTGGTTTTCTGAGTACGACAGGGCATAGATCGCAGGCTCTACCTTCCTGACAGGCACTGGGGTCCTCGAGTCAGAGGCCACCACAAGGAAATAGTTTACCAGCGGTTTTACATTTCACTCATGTCAACACACAGATCACAGAGGAGGGGAAGAGATGTGACCCTTTGTAAATTCAGTGTGTAAACTAGGAACCCAGACATGGTAAACACAGTGAGCCAAGCTCTATACACCTGACAGTGCCACTGCATCGGACCTCCGTGACTCCCGGTGCTCCTGCACAGCAGGTGCCCAATGTGTGCTCCAAGCCCTCACTAACTAATTCGGCCTCGCCTTGAGTCTTTGGGGGAAAACACCGCATCATTCTCCTTGAGGTCACTGGACTTCCTAGGTCAGGAAGTGCAGGCCACACTCTAGGTGCCGGTGCATCCTGGGTGTCTCGGAAGGGCTCAGCTCCAGAGCCTTGTCCCCAACCCCCTGGGAAGTAGATCCCCAAGGGAAAGCGGAGCTTCCCGAGTAGACTCCAGCTGAGAACACTAGCAAGACCTGCCACCAGGAGTGTGAAG